TTCTTCCTTTGAATGCATATTTCCTGAGCGATTACTCGCTCTCAAACGGTTATTTTGTTGCTTTCTTGACCGATCGGAATTTCAAATGCATTACCGATCTGATGCTTGGGTTCGTTTGGAAAAAAAAATATGACTGTGTTGTACCACTGTGATTTGCATGCATTGCAGCAGGTAGCAACCGACAATACATCTCGTATTGCTCTTGATCTTTCCCTCCTGGACGAATGAGTGATGCTATAATTTAGGTAATTACCTACATTATCAATTGAATTAGTTGTGAAAGTAAAGTAACCTTTGCTTCGAATTTACTATCGCCCAAAGGTTCACAGCAATTAAATCCAGTTATTTCCACCGTTTACACACTACGGCAACTTGGTGAGCGTGCACAATGCACACAATGGACTCATTTCGTGTGTGTATCCGATGTGTATTGTACTGTGCTGCTGCTGTTGTCGATAACGATTTCACTGCGCTTGGTATATTGGCCAGTTTAACTCACACATCATTTACGACTATTTTGCACGAATTATTCCGAGATTCCGTGGTCAAATGCAACATCACCACCACCACACGGCCATCTCCTCTTAAAAATCATCACAAAAATGCAAATCGACAAGAAACTTTCGTACCTTTATAATTGCGTTTTCTCTCTTATTTTAAATTACATGCGTGTTTGCCCACAAATGAGCATTGAGACAAGAGAGAGAGAGAGAGAGAGAGAGAGAGAGAGAGAGAAAATCCCGAAAAAACGCAACTGAAAATGAGCTACAGAAAAATTGCCCGCAAAGTTGTTGGTGATTGCTCATGTGATATTATAATGAATGTGAAGTAAAAACAATTTGGCCAACAATTTGTAGAGTGCATTTCAAATGGCCACAGCCCAGCAACATTTCAATTGCTTTAATTATTTTGTACCCGAACCGAGCATGAAAATCCTCCAAGCCTGAGACGATCATCGTCAATCTCCGAAAGGTGTGTATGAGTAAACATTCAATGATTACTTCGATTGGGCGCTGAATTACGTACTCAAAATGGCTTTTCAATGTAAAAAAAAAAAGATTTAGCCAGAGGTGCAATCATTGAATTATATCTGGTTCAAGTCACACAACGCGCTGAGAATCAATTATACGCTTGCAGCCAGAAAACCGTCACACACACAACCCATTGACGTTTTGAGTGTTTTTTTTTTCATTCTTCACATGAAATACGGCTGATTTTTGAATGAGCAAAGCCATTGTTCAGTAGTCATTGCCGGGCTCAAATCAATTTGCAACATTTTTGTGTTTACATCAATTGGTTTTACCAGCTCAATTGATTGACTAAGGAAGAAAAAGCGCTTCCTTAAGGAACAATTGTTTATGGACTGGTTTTTCATTTCATCTGTCAAGTGCATTGCATATCCTTGAAATCGTCATTTACTCCGATCGATTACAGAAGCACTTCATAATGCATCTGGTTTGATACTGAGTAGTTGCCAATTTTTTGCCAAATCACTTGAATTGATTGGACGCTTCCGCACGGCAATCGTGAGATTTTCGAAAATTTTGTTTCTATTCGAATCAAAACGCGATTCAATATTTATTGAAAACGTTTCGATTGCGACACGAAAGTGCACGATTACAGCGAATCGATAGAATAAACCATGTAATTACAATCTATCGTGTTTGTTGTGTTAATCGCCGTGCTGATTGAATTCAATTGATTATTTTTCATTGGAGTTTTTTTCTTCGATTTGCTTCTCATTCATATAGCTTCTTTACGTCGATAGGCGATAGTGGTGCGCGCGGTTTTAGTTAAACCGCATTTCCAGCGGGCATTTATTTCTTTGTTTGCTTATTGCTTATCGCGCTGCGTTTTTGATGTCATTTCAAAAAATTGAAACCATAAATTTTCGCTGTGGTTAATAGTAGATTAAAGTAATTCATACCGTGAGCAAAGGAAGACAGAATTAAACTGTGTGGCGAAAATGGGAAAATCAACGGCACACACACACACACACACACACACACAGAGAGAACAAGCGACGGCAGTGGCGAGCAGGCAAGTAAGCGCATTCAGCATATTAAAATGCCACACGAAGGCTAACAACGGCCACAACAACAGAGGAAAAATGGAAAACGAGAGTTCATGCCAAAACGGTTGTTGTTCATCGGACAACGTTTTGGTTCCGTTTCACCCAGGTCCTTTAGTTCAGTTCTTTTTTTTTCTGAAACGAGCGCGATTTTTCAAGACCCATCGAAATGGGCGTGCATATCGAATTTTCTGTGTTTGTGCGCATTAATTTCTTTTTTTGTTTTTTGATCGCGCAATCATTAAATTATGATTCGATTTGTGTGCTGAGTGAATTTCATTTGTATTTCAATGTGCGCACGGATGCTTGTCAGCATGTGACTTCAAGCGTCTTGGCCGCCAATTCTTTGTCGACCCAACTTGTGTTTGTAAGCGCAAAGTTTAATAAATAATTCATAAAGTTTTGATGGTCATCGCCACCACAGTCGAATCCACTAATAATCGACATTATTACCATTTCGTTCTTCATTTCTCGCTCAAGCACTCCCTCTCCCTCCCTCTCTCTCTCTCTCTCCCTCTCTCTGTCTCTTACTCACTAGTTCCATCTCTCCCCGCAATCTATCTCTCTCTTTCTCTCGCTCGGCCTGTTTTGGCTTCTTTCGAACGCGCGTTCTTGGTATTCTCGTTGCGAAACTGAATGGAGGAGAAGAAAAAAAGCCACCTTTATCTGTTCCTATATAAATCTACAATTTATGAATTTGTACGTTATTATCATTCATTGTTATGCGCGTTGTATGCCGCGTTTTGCTTTACCATTTTGTTGATAGTAGTGTGTGTGTGTGTGTGAGTGTGTTTATAATGTTGCTGTTCATTTTTTTTTCCAACTCCATTCCTGTTCATTGCATTTTTTTTTCCACGTTCTCACTCAATTCATTTCTATATATACGATTCGCTTTAGTTCGCATTATTGTTATTTTTACTGCTATTAATAATTTATTATTGTATTATGTATGGATTGTGTTTGGCAAAGCAGTGAATTAAACCGAAATATGGAGAGAAAAAAAAGAGAGCAATTTGCGCCATAAACACACAATTGTAATTAATTTTCACTGTTTAGTATGTAATTATGGGGTTTGTGTACATGTCTTTGTGGATTTCATACATTTTTTCTAGATTTGCTGCTTTTAATTCCCGTTGCTTGCGTTGCTGGTTTGCAGGAAGACAAACAGAAGAGAAAAAAAATGGCGGCAGCAACAACAAGAACAATAACAATATTCAAAGACCACCACTGATTTGCTCGCCATTACCACAAAATAGCCAGTGGATTTGAGCTCACACTAATTTCCCGTGTTCATGACGCTTTCGATTCTTTTTAACGATCTTTCTCTCGCTCGATTCGGTTTTTCTCTCTGCTTCAAAGCCGGCTGTCGTCGCTACCTTTTCGTTACAACATTGTATGCGAATTGGCTTCGGAGAATGCGAGAAAAAAAACAACAACGTAACAACAGCAGCTAATTGCTCTCGAAATCGCTCACGGTCTTCACAACATTTTAAATGAATTTTTTGCTCTCGTGAAAACAATCTCTCGACTTCAATACAAAATATGAAAAATGTGCAAAGAAAAAGAAAACAAATTATGCTGCTCGAATGCAATGTACAAACCACAGGATTTTCGCCTTTGTTCGGGGCACACAAAAAACGTGTTCGATGTGTGCAAATTATATCGACAGCAATTTGGGTGTCCTTTTTTTCATGCAAAAATTTCAATTCCGTTTGCATTTCATTTCAATTCTGTTTAGCATCAAGGTGTTCATGGTTGCGATCATGATCAAAATGAAACCGTTCGATTTCGGCTGAACCATATTAGACCATTTTTTTCTTGCTTCTTTGGATGACCCCGTCCATATGTACCTGCCCGTCAGTTTGCTTGTGATAGTGTGTGTGTGTGTGTATTTGATGTCCAGTTTGACTCTCCCCTCGCAGTGAGAGAGAGAGAGAGAGAGAGATAGAGAAAGAGAGAGAGCGAGAGGGAGAATGAATGACGCGTCGAGCTCGGCGAAAATTATACTAGAAAACGTAATGTTGTGTAACTTCGTAGCCATTTTCGATTTACATATAATTACCTATTGTATGCAAATGGGCATTTCGACTGCTTTTTCCACTATCTCAAACTCGTAACTCTTGCCTGCCTGCCTGCCTTTGTTTTCATGGTTCTGTTAGGTTCCCTTATTATTAAAACTAAATAGTGTGTGTGTGTTTTTTTTATATTCAGGTTGCCGGTGCCGTTGTTTGTTGGCGTGTGTGTATGTGTTGTGTGTTTGTTGTTTTTTTTTTCGGATTTTCAGTTGACCAAATGGCCATTGCCTACACATTTATACTCGAATCCATTCATACACACACTTGTTCAATGGATAAAATGAATGTACGCGCGCGGTTAATGCATTCGCGTTAAGTTTGGGCTCAGTGCTCAGGCCAACGATAAATCTAATTAGCTGAAGCAGCAAAAGGAAAGGCCAACGAGTGAAGAAATACGAGAACGATAAAAAAAATGGCTGGCAAAAGTAAAAGCAGATGAAAATCTTCGATATAAATGATTCGCTCACTTAGGTACACTTTATTCAAATGATCCCTCTCTATTCTAGAGAGAGCGAGAAAACCACACACACAAAATCGAGCAAAAACTGAAAAAGTGACCAACGATATTCACTTCAAAATGCCTTGAATGTCGGGATCTTTTTTTGTTAATTGAACGGGAATTTCATGTTTGAAAATTATAAAACCATGTTGTTGTGCTCGGTTCGTTTGGTTCGGCTTATTCTTGATATCGCGGCTCTGGATCAGTGCCCGTGCAAGAGAGTGAGAGAGAGAGAGAGAGAGAGAGAGAGAAAAAGAGCCAGCAACATTTGCCATACACAGAAAGCGCTGCCGCGAATTGTGAATGTGTGTGTGTGTCTAAGTGGCGGGCCCACGATGTGAACGGGCTAATTCAAATGGCTGCGCATCAGACCGATTTCATTAATCCAAACAATATAAATATGCAAATGGATCGCTTACATCCATCTTCATTGTGCATTCCACATCTCTTCGATTTGATTCGTCCGAGTGTAACCAAGAGCCATAGGAAGGCTTTTTTTTCCACTCCACTCCAACAAGAGAATTATTCTGGCATTGTGTCCATTTCTTTTTCCGCTTCGCGTTTATTATTCGTGCGCATTTTTCTCAGCACTACCAAGCGCTCACATAGAGAGCAAATGCATTCTTTCGCAACCAGAACCAAAGACTTAATTGACCTTTCCCTTTGCTGGTGGTGGTGGTGGTGCTGCTGCTGTTGTAATTATTGTTATAGATATTTGTCATTATAAAATATGTTTGTGCAACATTTTGCTTAGTTTTAATTATTCAATTTCGTTTTTTTAATGTCCACAATTTTGGTGTCTCTCACTAAATGCGTCAACTAACAGAAAATGGACGATTATCACCAAGGTCCGATTTCGAAATTGAACACCGAGTTTTTTTTTATTTTAATTTTCTAAAATCATATTTCGAAAGATTTCCAGCTTTTGAATTGTGATCGACCAATGATTCAATGCCGTTATTCATCATGGTGCTATTATTATTTGCTTCGATATGTCCGTATCGTATGGATGCCATTTATTTTTAGTGCAAAGTGTAACCATACTGGACTGTGTGTGTTTGTGTGCGTATGTCTGCTAAGAATGCGGCGAAACCAGTTGGAAATAGAGAAAAACTGGTATGTCGTTAATTGTTATATCATGGCGGAAAAATCGGTTAATGATCGGCTAATTGAGCTGGGGCTTTCTGGTCGAACGCATTAGAAGTTCTCTGAGTTTTCGAATTGAAAAAAAAAACACAAAATTAGCAACTCGAATGGCCAAAAGCAATGAATTAACCACTTTTCAAATGGAAAATTATTTGTCGCCAGTTTTGTGCATGATTTTTGTTCCCTGTTTCTCTCTGTCTTCCATTTAGTCGCACACACACACCGCACCGCACCAACGACTCAATGTCTACACATTTGAGCTTGGGCTGCTTGCATTATTATTGCCAACCAATCAACGCCATGCGCGGCATTTATTTGCATTGAGGCAAACATGCGAGAATCGATCGATTAAATTCGTTAAAATCCGACTTGTAATGAAGTTTGACACCTAATATCACGTTTTAGATGAACGTGAATAATGGATTGAACACCATACACCCAATTATAGTGTATGGTGTATAACAAAAGGCACAAACAACAATATGGCAACAAATTGGCTTTGCGTCTCCAGCCGGTGCGGTATAGCCGACCGGGTCAAATGTAACAACGATGAAGTAATATGATACAGGCTTGCCACTGGTAGGCTATTTCAGCTATTTTCAGCTATTTTGAAAATCGTAGCTATAGTCGGCTTTTTCGTCAAAAATCAGCTTTTCTCAGCTATTCAATCTTTTGATGGAAATTGAAAGAAATGGGGGTGCTAGAACGCAAAGTAACCAACATGAATAATCAAAATAACTTGGAAATGAAAGAAAAACAGTTTTTGACTATACCGATGAATGCGTTTGACTCATCCTGCAAACAGATAATAATAGCCCGCTATAGAATGACTTGTTCACTAGCATAGCAAAGATTTCTGAATTTTTCTGAAACCGTCAAAAATCAATGCATATAACGATTCGAATAAAAATCAGTATTCTACGCGAAATTTCATATGATTGAGTTTAGTTGTCTTTTAGGAATGAGTTCAAAGATAAGAAAATTCAGTCCAGACCGGCTCGATCAGTTCAGTTTGATGCCAGACGTTATCCACGCCTATAAAAGTAGTGCGAAGGACTATAGAGATTTTAGAAAGGTTGGTAAAGATCGTGCAAAATTTCTAATCTGTTATTTTGACAGATTCAAAGATCTCCGCAAACATTCGAACACTTTTAACTTATGCAACGGGTGGTCCGATGACAAAAATGTTCAGCCTAAATTTTTTTATGTCCATCACAGCAAATTCGAAGTATTTCTGTGTAATCAGCCACAGTTAATGTTGAAAATAAAGGGTATAGTGCACAAACGCAGCATATGGAAACTGATGCATGAATTGCTTATGTTAAAAGACATAAAGGATTATTATCGATGAAATCATTAAAGTGAGATTGTTCCTTATCATTCATAAAAAAAAAACAAAACAAAAACTGTAGACATGATTCATCATTGCGTAAATTTGTCAAATAACATAAAAGAAACAGCAAACAAAAGGTCAACGAACTAGTTTGCATTGATATTTTGCCGGTAATTATTGGTCAGCTATTTTTGTAGCTATTTGAGTCAAAATTTCAGCTTTTTCAGCTATATTTTTTTCAAAATTGAGTGGCAAGCCTGAATATGATCAATTCTTGAAGATACGCTTCATTTGACTACGGACAGTGAATAAAGAAGCTTAAGCTTAAGATACATCTCTTGAGTAATAATGGAGCTTAAAGGAAAACGCTTGGTTTTGCAAAGTTCCAAGTTTGCTGCCTTCAACCAAATAAAATTCAGAATTTTAATTTCTTCTATCAACTCAATTCGATATCAAACCAAGCAATCCAAATAGGATCTGTAAATCAAATTGGGAAAATAATCAATCGAAATTTTGACATTCTGGAACGAAAATATCCTTTTTCCATTCGTCCTTAGCAGCCACCGGCTGGTTGAGCAACGCTTTGTGAACAACAAAAAATTGGTAAATAATCAAAGCAACCTGAATTTGAAAATAATGCAAATGCGATTATCTTTCATTTAATATTTCCCATCTCTCTTGCTCACTCTCACAGTTACTGCTATGTCGGTTTTGTCGATTCAAATGCTAAAATTATTGTTGTTTTAATTGTCAGACGGTAGCGTGCAACGTTGAGTTGTACGATTGTCGTTTGGGGGTTTTTCGTTCGCTATCATATATAAAATTAAAAGCCGTCAAGTGTTAGCTATGAATGCACTATGACTATAAATACATATTGTATGTATGATTTGAAATCGTTAGCTGAGTTGGATGGATGACAGCAACGACGACGACGACGACGATTATGACGACGCATTGCGTTCATATTGAAGCCGCGCGGCCGTTGACAGTTTTGTTTTTCTTTCTGTGTTCATCCAGTACACTTGTAGTAACAACTGTACAGCAAATGCTAAGCATTTGCATACGGTTTTTTTTTTCGTGATTTTCTATAATCACCATTGCATGACAATTTACATAGCGTTTGTGTTTATTTCGATAAAGAGAGTAAGAGAGAGGGAGGGAGAGAGAAAGAGCTAGAAAGAATGAGAAAAAAACATGAATGGAATCGACATTTGTGCCAATGTGTATATACATGAACTAACAAAACCAGAAGCCATAATTGTATTATTCGAACGATATCTCACGCAGCATTGCAAAATGATTGTGAGCAATGTGCAGATAAATGCAAACGCGTATGCAAATATATCGAAATTGCGAAAATGGCCACGAATCAAGAAAAGAGCGCACTCGTTCCGATCGGCAATCGTGTTTTTGTTGCTCTGTCTCACTCATTCTCGCGTCAGTTTTTGGTATCATATGTTGCACATTTTTGTTCCTGTCACCGTCATGAGCTCTCATTTTCACAAAATTAATGCCGTACTGCTGCTGCTGTGTGTGTGTGTTTTTTTTGTGCGCATATCCGGTTGAATTCGGTTCGTTGAGCAAGTGCATATTGAGACGCGTGTCGCGATCATAGATTTACGCATTTGCATAGAAAGCCATGGAATGGCTGCTCGATTTGAAAAAATGACTGAATAAACACTATTTTCTCCGCCATTTAAACCATCAACTTTCATTTGCGCCATTTGATTTGATTTATATGATTTCACGTCGTGCTTCATGAATAATAATAATATTATTACCGTTTATTTCCTCTTTTTTTTGTCCCCCTCTACATTCGCTTCAATTACACAAACATTCGATTTTTAGAATTGATCTCAGTTTTCTCTTCGTTATCTGACGAATTGTTTCCTGTAAAATGCATTGAGAACAGAGAGCCACGTTTCGTGTGTCGCACGTGGAATGAACATCGTGCACAATTGCACATGCACATACAAAAATGAAAACATCTTGCAAAAATATGAACATCAAAATGGAATCGATTGGATAACGATTCATCTTGCACTTCCGTGCGCCTTGCCAGCAACATATTTCGCAAAGATTTGACACAAAAACAATGTTATGTGCATTTTCAGCATACATCGCAAGCACATCAGCTTTATTTTATTGCTTCATTCGGTTCATATTTTGCAATTCTTGTAATCAGATTTATGTTCGATTACGAAGCGATGCTAAGTCTTTGCGATCTTTGCTAAGACAGAGATAGATAGAGAGTTGAGCCGGTGCAAATAAAATCGCGAGATGGTGCGACGCGGTATTGAAAAAAAAAAATGCTAATAATTATCGGCCCTGACACTGATTATATGCTCCTTGAACGAAGCGATCAAGACTTATGCTTCTGCAGTGAATTATGATGATCTCGCGTTCGCATTTGCCGAACGGAAATGGAAAACCAACAGCAAATTGGCTTTGTCGAACACTGGCGAAATGAAAAAAAAAAACACAACACTCGACACAGCCACAAACATAATAAATAATTTTTCGCTCATGTTTTTTTTGTTCCAGCATGAAATTTGCAATGCATTTATTCAATTCGAATTATTTCGAGTGTGTACGAAAAAAAAAGCTGCAAATTTGCCAAATACTTCACTTTCATTTGTATGAGCAATGTGCTTTGCTGTCAACACGATATAATTTTCACGGGGAAATGATGAAATTCGCATCAAGTGCATTTATCTGCGTCAGGTTTTTTTTTCCTGCCTCCTTCAACTATCATTATCAGGCTGGAACAGATTTATTTGTTGTTGAAAATGGGCGGCCAATAATTTTATTGAAACTGAACAATAACGAAAAAAAAAAACGCCAAGTGGAAATTGATGAGCGATCATCGAATAACCTGTTCAAATGTAATTTTAGAGTGGAATATATCGATTCGAACACAAGTGATTGAACCTTTTGCAAGCACACCATTTTGTAACATACTCTTCTTAGCGCCATAACACGACACATTAAAGATATGAAGAAGAAGCAAAACAACTACAGAACCAAGCATAACATTGTAATGCACACCATTCAATGTTAAACATCTACAGCGGAATAATGTTGTTGCACATTGTTCGAACATTGTTTGTTATTAATTTTGTAATCCATAATTTTGCGAATTTTCAACCAGAACCGGCCACGAACTCAAACGATGTCTCAATCTCTCTCATAGCAAACAGGAAATTATGCATCACCCAATATTTATTGTTCAATATCATCGATAAATGTGCGCAGCATCATCATCACGTACATTTGGCGCTTTCAATCGACAGCCACACCCACCGCAATCGCAGCACGTACTACTTCCAATGAAAATGATTTTGATTTGTGTCTTTGGCTTCGATTTGCAAGCCACATTTTTATTTTAGATTTTGGTTTGAATTAGGGAAAAATACAGTTTTTTTCGTTACTTCAAATGAACCATTGCGACAAACAAATTCCCTCATAATATTTTAGTTTTAAAGTGCAACATAAAGTTTTTTTTTTTCATATGGAGTTGTTGTTGTAAACTCTATATAAAAAAAAAATTCATGTTGCACTTTGAAACTAAAATATTCTGAGGGAATTTGTTTGTCGCAACGGTCCAAATGTCCTATGGATTCTTGAGTTTCGATTTTCCAGGAACTCTCAGTAGAATCTTCTTTTGAATTGCTAGTTGAAAATCTAATGAAAGACAGAGAATTATTTCTTATTTTGATATCTTTTAATGCTTTCACCCATGCAAGACCCATTAACCCTTTGCAGATACAATGTGAAAGCAGTATAAAAGAATTCCAACAGCTTTATCGAACAACTGTGTCCATGACCATGAAAACATGGGCTAACCAGAAAAAAGAATTCATACTTTCAAATTATAAGTTAAAAAACGTATTTAATTCGTAACCCCCTGATTAAATAGCCATATACATTGGAGTCAGACTGAATGGCATATTGCATAAAAAAGATTAAAATCAATTTCGGACTTTCTTCTCGAGAGGCTATCTAAAAAAAAGCATTTATTTGTTCGACATGGTTTGGTGGATTCGATAGAATACTCAAACCAATTGTTTAAATAAATGACGGATCAAACATTATTTCGCACACAAAAAAATTGGATGAACAAATTCCACAAACAAATGAAATTTTTTCAGATTTGCACAAGTTAGCATCAAAATGTAAAAAATCAGATTGGAAATGTAGAACAAACGGGTTGAAGAGAAACATTGACCAAAATTTAAGGACAAATTGATTACAGAAGCTGTCTCGAATAAAACTGCATACATATTTGGGTTTATTATTTAAACATTGGCCTGATCAGTTTGATTTGCACAGTGTTTGCAAAGCCTGTATTTTTCGAGTATTTAAGAAATTGATTTGGCATAATTTTCACTTTTCATTTTTGTTCTTACACTTATTCAGTCTGAATATAAACATAAAGAATAACTATAATTGAAACGTTCTATTGCAGATTGGATGGGAACTCTCAAATTTAACGACACCCGATATTCCACTGGCCCTGGCAGCCGTATGGGATGACTATAGCCAAAGTCTATACTTTATCAATATGGCTAGTTCCGGCATGCAATCGTCTATTTTCCGTTACAGTGATTTGGATGGCATTTTTTACTCGGCATACATTGAAGGCGTGTCAGCACCTTCATTTATCATGCCCATAAAAGATGAATGTGACAAAATGGCAAAGTGTAATGTGTGCGGTTATCGATTATTTGCCGTTGGAGTCGATCATAGTGTGTTAATTATCAAGTGGAATGGGAAATCGACAAAGGCCAAAGTGGTTAGTACTCTTTTGACACTGGAACAGAATATGCCATTGAGTCGAACGAATTTCGCTCGAGCTGATAACAAAGGACGGCTCTACGGCGGAACGCTTTCGCGAAAATTTTGCAATATAACTGCATCAGAAGGATTCTATCGATATAAGAAGACAGCCGGTGTTGATCTTCTATTCAACGGTTTATTTTCAACATCGGGCGTTGTTTTCAACGAAGATTTAAATAAAATTTACCAATTGGATACTTGCACAGGATTCATCGCCGAATTTGACTGGGATCCAAAAACCGGCGACATATGTAAGTCGTTTTACGAGTTAAGAAAATATCTTTTCACGCTTTCTCAAAATTGCATTGAACGTCATTTTCAAGACATTTTGGAAAATGCGCTTGCGAAATGGTTTTCTGGGTAAAAAAAAAAGTCACGAAAATGGGTGATATGACGTCCAAAAATGCATAGGGAAAATAAATCGGAATTAATTGAACTTTCTCCTCAGGTAACGGTCGTATAGCATTTGATTTTGGTTCAGTCAGTAGAGAGCCAAATGTTCCCGTTGGCATGGAAATTGATTCTTTTGGATTTCTCTACTCTGCAATCTATTCGGAACATAAGGAACAAGTGTGGAAAATAAATCCATGGTAATTCATTTTCGTGTTTTTTTTTCCTCTAATTTTTAAATTAGATCGATTTGTTTCTTTTTTCGTGCATTCAATTTCAAATTCCATTTCAAATGGATAATTAGTTGTGGTTTTGATTTTATTGCAATGCTTGACATACTTTCAGGACGGGTGGTTTGGCTGATGTTTATGACATAAAAGTGCCTGGCATTTCTGGAATGGCATTAGGTGGACCAAATCGAGATATTATGTACGTTATTGCCGGTTCGGAAATTGTTAATGTATATTCAACTGCCGTTGTGAAACAAATCACAGAGGGAACTTCAATTTTCGTTCTACGCGGCATAGGAGCAATGGGACAGCCATCAACGAGTCTTTCCATCAAAGGACAAAACAATGATTGCAACAAATGTGGATCGCATTAAACGGGATTTTATTGAACACTTTCACATTATACCACTAAAAAGTCTCACTTTCAATGCCAAATTAACGAAAAATGCACGAAACTACATTTTCAAAAGATATTGAATATGTAAAATTTAAGTAAATTCGATGTTTTGGTTGATCATTATTATTTATTTAAAAATTATTTTCAAATATTTCAAGCTATTGTTTCAAAATTTTGGCCTTTTTGGCCATTAAAAATTCATTTTTTTAAAACTCTTTCAACTTTAAGTTGAATAATAAAAAAAAAACTTTAACGAGCTTTTTTCGTTTGAATAAAACTTGAAAAGAAACTTGTGATCCAAAATCCGGATGATTTTCATTTCCTAGCGATCGACTTGAATTCAATTTGAAAATGTTGTCATTTCGATGACACAATTTGGTTTGCGGTGTGTATTTTTTTCTTTCAAATTTGCGCCATTCATCGACGAAACATCAAAGATGCCGCCAAAAAGGTATTAATCTCCACCATATGGAAAGTGAATTGACTGTTTATAGCCCACAAGCATCGCACATCCCATGACCAATGCGATAAAAAGAGGCAATAACGTGAATTGGTTGTTCGTTTGAAAACCAAACAAATGCTCGTCATTGAAAATGGGTTAAGCGTTTGAAATTTATCAAAAGCAAATTGATCGGTTTGCCGCACAGCCACAAACAGTTCACTGTTCAACTCATTTATCATTCAATTAGACGATTGGTGTTTATTCATGCTTCGCCCATTTCGTTATCTCGTTTGTGTTTCGGACGTTTTTTTTTCCGTTTACTTCCTCAACGATTGTTTTTTATGCCTTTTTTTTTAAATCCAGGATTGTTGTAATCGCGTCACCGACTCTCTGCATCTGTTTTTCATTCAACGCAGAAAAAACACGATATATAAACGTAAGAGAGAGTGAAAAAAACCGCGCCGTGTTCGCTATCAGTATCTATGCCGTGGGGCAGAGAACGATGCAGCCGCCCAAATATATCATAATAATGCATATCAGTCACACAGACTAAACAGGCATCAAATGCGTTTTGTTTTTCGTCAGGTGATTATAAAATTATAGACTATTTTAAATTAGAGACAGAGATGGAGAAACAACACGTTCGCCTCAATAGCATAGGAAGATGAGGAAAAGAAACAAAACGGTCAATGGATTATACTCCGTTTAACTCATTCAATTTTCTATCGCAGCACAGTAATGAAATCAACAGCAAACACAAAACAAAGCAGAAGACGAGAAAAAAAACACACACACAACAGATTGATCGAAGACACGTATCAACGTGGAGCGACAGAAACATCAAGCTAATGTAACGATTATAAATCACCTGTTCCCATCGGCATTGAAATGTACCGAAAATTTTCGACAAAAGCGTGCACATTTGCATCGAAACGACTCTTTGAATAGCATATCGCTATCGATGGCTAGTTAATTGCTCTGGTGCTTCATTGATTTTTTTTCTCTCTCGCTCTGTGTTTTTTCGATTCGATTCTGTTTTGTAGGGAAAAAAACGAATTGGAAGGTGTTTTCGGCGAAAAGCGTTTGTTGTCGAGCATAAATGTGATGAATACCACAATCATCATCAAAAATGGAATTCGCTGTTTTTCTTTAGAAATGTTCGCCGTTATACGAAGAAGAAGGGGGAGAAAAAAACCACTGGTGAGGTGCTGGTGAAAAATCGGATAAAAACATTTATTACAATCGCGCCAATTTCGTTCAGATATTACGATTTAAGGTGTGCAATGTATGACGTACCATATTTCATCTCTGGCTGCCTGAACACTTTTTCTTCATAATGCAATGCTGGGTGTTGCATTCGGCCTCAACTCAGTTGAACGCTTTCAATCATATTCGTCTGATGTATGGAAATGCTTTTCCAAATATTCACACACACACACACCGATCGCTGAATTGTTGCAACAGAGTAAGCGGGAAAATCAACGTATGAATGCATGTTTCATCGAACAAAACGGTTTTGTGAATGGAGATTGTGTTGTGCCGGTTGTTATTTTATTTTATTTTTTCTCTGTATTTCATTCGTGTCTCCTTTTGAACGATTCGTTGACGATGAATGGAAATAAGGAGAGAAAAGTCTTTGTGCAAAGAGAGAGGTAGAGAAAGAGAGAGAGTGAGAGAGAGAGAGAGAGCAAGGGAGACCAAGTGAGATGAATACAAAGGGAAATGGTGTGCAGAACAATCGTAATGCGATAAACAGCAAAGATTAAAGTTATTACTGAGTGCAAATCGTCTGAACATATTGTTACTATGTTAACTGTCATAATTTCATGTAACATGTGACTGTAAAATGCAACTCAACGTGCATATCATCACACATAGTCACCCGTGCAAAAAGAGGCAGCATCGCCATGAATAAATTCACCAGCCCAACACAATGTGTGTGTACAGCTGTGTGAAGAGAGTGCAATTGAACGTCAGTCGTAACGCGAGCGAAACAAAGCAACATTTTGAACAATGGACAAAAAAACACACACACACACATCATATTGAATGGATTCACATGGTTCGACACATAAATTGTTCACTTGACACGTCCTTTTTATTCAACGCAATCGATTTTGACCACTTTTAAACACTATTCAGAACTTTGTAATTGGCGGCACAGCGCAATGAATTTTTCGTTTCAAGTCCGAAGTAGAAATAATCTCCGTTTTGAACTAATGCATACTTTATATTTCATACCCCGTTAAGATGGTCGAATTTGGTTTACTCTAGATTAATTGTGATTAGCTACAAGAGATGTTTGGTGAAAAAAAAAGTAAAACATTTCAGTCATGATTCCAGAAGCAAGGTGATTCAATTTCCTCCGTTAAATAAATACTTTTCGTAACGAAAGCAAAGATTTCGATTGTTGATCTCAAGCCAAAATCACATCGTCTGTCCAAAGTAATCGATTGACTCTTCGTTGGCTAAATGCAATGTGATTCGCACCAACGTTGAAAATGTCAATAACACCGTCTTAGCGTGGCTGAGATTCATTTGAGTTGGGCTTCTTAAATAATATTTCGCTCATAAAACTGTTGTTTATGTTTAATCGCTGTATCGGGTTATAAAATGTTTATTGATCCAACTTTGTGCTCAAATGAATGATGTTCATTTCGGCGAGAGAGAGAGAGAGAGAGAGAGAGAGAGAAAGAGAGGCATGACGATGAAGTTGAGAGCTTGAGCAGCAGCGAGAAGATGCAACAATGAAACCGAAATTCATAAAATGTGGCATTAAACCGGTGACTTAGTATGTGGCTGAGTGGAGTTTTGTTAAATGTGCATGCACATTGGAATGATCGGAGAACAATAAAAAACGGGAGGCTCGCAAAGCAAAACGGCAACCACAACAGAAAACTAACAACGAATTGGAAATGAAAAATATAGTGAATTCATGCAAATGTGCACGACATTCTTGTGTGAGAGCCCAACTCATCCACCGGTGGATTGTTCGCGCGGAGAGTGCGATCTGAAAATGCCTGGCCACTCGACCAGATTATGACACCAACGTAAAAAAAGAGCCTTTATACATTATTTATGGGCGCTCAACAGTCATCGTTTTCATTGCTTGTGGTTGTTGATTTTTCGGCTAGTTCTCTCGCGCCGTCTCGCTTCGTTGCATCGCCAAATGGCAATGGGAAAACTGCTCGTTTCGTCTCTCATCTCTCATAACATGACGACAACTATTTAAAATGAATTAATTGTGGGCAACAAGATAGAATGGGAAGCTGTAGCCGCAGCAACAGTGTTGCCCATGGAAATTTATGCGCACCGATCAGGTCGGTGGCAGCAAGCAGCGAGCAAAAACACTTATGTATTTTAGTTATGGCGATTCGATGTGTGCCGCAACGTCTACATCAAAATGCGTACAACTTAATGGTGCTGCACGAATCGGCTGGCAAGGGAAACGCTCAGCGCTCCCGCTGATACGAGCCACGCTAATTTTCGTCGATTGTCTGGCTGCTGGATGCCATTCTGGTGCACTGGGCTTAAGTCCACCACCACATGCATTTAGCATGCGATCAATTCGTAATTCGTTTTTTTTTTCTCCTCTTCTTCGTCGTTCGCATCTTAATATTTGGTTAGCAAAAGAGATATATTCATTGCTTTATGTCATCTCCAGCCCGTTTCGAGCGCATACATTCGCATTACCGATTGTAAACATGAGTTATGATCGCGTAAATTCAAACAAAGTAAACATGATTTTATGACACATGCAAAGCGATGAGACCGAAAATGATATCCGACACATTCGCGCGTATTTGGTATTTGCGCAAGTGGCCTTTGGGGACCGTTGAGAAGGGAAGGTGAAGAAGGATTGTTTTTTTTTTGTGTGGAAATTAAATAAGCTATAAATATTTCAATTTTCTCAGAATGCACAATGCTCATTCGCTTCAACCAAGTCTCCTCACTATCACAAGCATGCTCACTTTTCACCGTGGTAAGAAGCAGAGAATGAAAAAAAAAACGCCACGGACCATTTGCATCGGTGGTCTATTACTAAAGATCGTTCGTTGTTCAAACAGGCTCAAAATCGTGCATTTTATTGCGCTGGTGATTTGAATAATCGCTTTTCGATTGCATCGTCGTTATCGTTACTCTTCGTTTCCATTCATTCATTTTCGGTGTTCAGATGATTCGCGCGCATCAACGAATGAATACGAGATGTGCACACAAAATCGACATTTTTTCCCATCAAAATTACTTCGATCATTTTTCGCTTAACGACATTTCATACTGCTCGTGATGTACGAATGGTCAACGCCGGCATACAATGCTCTCGCTCCCGCCCGACTAATTATAATTTTACAAAGTGTATCATAAAATGTAACAATTTCGGGGCGCTGCGTTATTTATATTCTTATGGACATTTTGCTCATTTTAATGCAAAGATATCATGGTCACACAGTGCAACTTTGTGTATTGGCCAATAAAAATGTTGAGAGAACTGTGTGTTTGTGCAAATTCACATGGAAAATAGCATCAATATCAGC